CAATTAATCAATCAGAATAGAGCTGGAAGGGGCCTTGGAGGTCTTCTAGTCTGTCTCCCTGCTCAAGCAGGAGACCCTAGACCATTTCAACCAATTAATCAATCAGAATAGAGCTGGAAGGGGCCTTGGAGGTCTTCTAGTCTGTCTCCCTGCTCAAGCAGGAGACCCTAGACCATTTCAACCAATTAATCAATCAGAATAGAGCTGGAAGGGGCCTTGGAGGTCTTCTAGTCTGTCTCCCTGCTCAAGCAGGAGACCCTAGACCATTTCAACCAATTAATCAATCAGAATAGAGCTGGAAGGGGCCTTGGAGGTCTTCTAGTCTGTCTCCCTGCTCAAGCAGGAGACCCTAGACCATTTCAATAAATTAATCAATCAGAATAGAGCTGGAAGGGGCCTTGGAGGTCTTCTAGTCTGACTCCCTGCTCAAGCAGGAGACCCTAGACCATTTCTATCAATCAATCAGAGCCGGAAGGGACCCTGGAGGTCTTCTAGTCGAATCCCCTGCCTAGTCAGGAAACCCTACACCACTTCAGACAAAGGGTTATCCAATCTCTTAAAAACTTCCAGTGTTGGAGCATTCACAACTTCTGGAGGCAAGTTGTTCCACTGATTAACTGTTCTAACTGTCAGGAGATTTCTCCTCAGTTCTAAGTTGCTTCTCTCCTTGATTAGTTTCCACCCATTGCTACTTCTCCTGCCCTCAGGTGCCCTGGAGGTTAGCTTGACTCCCTCTTCTTTGGGACAACCCCTGCGATATTGGAAGACTGCTATCATGTCACCCCTATTCCTTCCTTTCATTAAACTAGACATCCCCAGTTCCTGCAACCGTTCTTCATATTCTAGTCCAACTCCCTGCTCAGGCAGGAAACCCTACACTGCTTCAGACAAAGGGTTATCCAACATCTTCTTAAAAACTTCCAGTGTTGGAGCATTCACAACTTCTGGAGGCAAGTAGTTCCACTGGTTAATTGTCCTCACTGTCAGCAAATTTCTCCTTAGTTCTACGTTGGGTCTCTCCTTGATTAGTTTCCACCCATTGCTTCTTGTCCTGCCCTCAGGTGCTTTGGAGAATAGCTTGATCTCCCTCTTACTTGTGGCAGCCCCTCAAATACTGGAAGGCTGCTATCATGTCAGCCTTGGTCTCCTCTCTGTTAGACACACATACATTTTCTCTATTGTTCATTCTTCGTGTTCGCCTACAGACCCCTGATGGGCTTTGTGGCTCTTCTCTGCACTCTTTCTGGAGTCTCAAATATTTTTGGGGTGCTGTGGTCATATGCATTGGATCCAGTGTGAGCTCCCGTGGCTTGTCCCAGCTTCTGCCAACCGAGCCATTTGAAAGCACGTTAAAAAATGCAAGTAGAAAAATAGGGACCACCAATTTTGGTGGGAACAGCGTTCCGTGTGCCTTCGGGAGTTGAGTCATGCCGGCCACATGACCACGGAGACGTCTTCGGACAGCGCTAGCTCTTCGGCTTTGAAACGGAGATGAGCACCGCTCCCTAGAGTCGGGAACGACTAGCACCTGTGTGCGAGGGGAACCTTTACCTTTTATTGTCTCGTAATCCACCGTTAAAATGGCTTTGGGGTCACCTGGGAAATCTCTTTAGGAATTGGGCCATGGAGCAATGATCTTTTGCCTGAACGGCCAGCGCAAACAAGATTTAGGTAAAAGCCGTTTCACGGGGTGGGAAACGCACCGCCCAGCTTTGAAAGGGAGACGGCTGGAAACTTTTGTTCTTTTTAAGACGGTGGGCAAACTTACTTTCCGATTCCACGTCGTGGATCCCGACGGACCGCGTGTATTTCACCAGATCCGAGAGAGCCCGGGAGAGTTTCATTGTTTTCTTTTGCCGATTTGTTCTGGGAGGACAAAACAACAACGAGGTAATTGCTGTGGCCAGTCGGCCCAGCAACTGAATCAGAGAAGGAGGTGTGGGAGTCAGGGTCAGCCTCAAGGCAACGTGACAGCTCCGAGGGGGAAGAGGGAATGGCAAGGGGGGGCGGGGCAGAGGCGGAGGCTGGGCCCCCCATCAGCTCTCAGATGGAGAGTCCACAGCCCCCAGGTCTTGTGGTGGCTGATGAGGAAGAGGAGGAACAGCTGGGTCCAGTGGCTGATGCACAGATGCACAGAAGGCAGAGGAGAGGAGAGCAGTGGAAATCTATGGGCCGGTCCTCGGGACGGAAGAGCCACCGCTGCTAGCAAAGCCCCACCCTAGCTCTGGGGATCAAAGGGGGCGGAGATGAATAGATGTGGCAGACAATTATTCATCTCCCTGCCGGACAGACTTCTTAGCCTGCGGTGGCTCTTCCGTCCCAAGGACCGGCCCATAGATTTCCACTGCTCTCCTCTCCCCTGAGAGAGAAACTTTTTGCTAGGGCTGCCGGCGCTCCGAATAAAGGATTTATAAAGATTCTTTTTTCTGAAACCGTTGAGACTTACTTGCTATAATGGACCGAAGTTCTAGTGAGGTTTCCTTGGCCTTCAAAGTCGTCTTCTCCATCTTCCAAACTTGGGGTCCTTTTGAGTTTGCTGGATTTTTTCTGCGTTGTGGGGGGGGGAGGGGAAAGGCAGGGAGGAAAACACACATACCTCAGCTTACTTGTTATATAATGAAAGCGAGATAATTCTCATGCTGAAAGAATCAGTCGTTATTTTCAACTGGCTGATAGCCCCATGTTCCCTGGGTATCTATCTACCTTCATCCTGTATTCTGCAGTTCTAATTATCCATTGAAGTCTGTGTGTGTCTTGATTGGTTGCAGAGCCAAACCAGACAATTATGGAAGTGCAGATACAGAAAAAAAACAATGGCTACCAACCTGCCTTCCATTGAGGACCTGGACACTGCAAAAAGAGGGCTGTGAGAATATCCACAGCTGAGTTTTGACCACCACTTGTCGGCTGTGACCAGGGGGGCATTTGCCCAGGTTCGCCTGGTGCGCCAGTTGCGGCCCTACCTGAACCGGGAGGCTCTCACAACAGTCACTCGAGCCCTTGTGATCTCTAGGCTGGAATACTGCAATGTGCTCTACATGGGGCTGCCCTTGAAGAGCATCCGGCGACTTCAGCTAGTTCAGAACTCGGCCTGCCCGAGTGATCATGGGCGCACCGCGGTTTCCCCATATAACACCGATCCTCAGTGAGCTGCGCTGGCTACCTGTTGATCGTCGGGTGCACTTCAAGGTCTTACTTA